CGCAAGCGTCCCGTTCCAAAGCGACACGTGGAAGGAGAAGCAGGGTACCGCTTACGCTGTGAAAGTAACTTGTGAGTGGTAAGAAGGTTGTGACTGGATCATGGAACGCTGTGCTCTCAGGCCGAAGCCCGCCAGAAAGAAAGATGTAGAAGGCCGCCGTACGGTGACTGAGAAGTAAGCCTCCTGTCTCAGCTGAAGTGTGGAGAAATTGTCGTTCGTGCCACGCAGAATAATTGGCGCGAGAAAGAGACACAGATAAACGAAAAGGAATTTCAAATGAACAAGGTTTGGTAATTGGAAGTATCGATGATGGTCGAGAGAGAAGCGTTTAGTGATGAAGCAAAAGACAGAGTCTTCGACCGCAGTCTTGAAGGCGGTGTGGACGAGCAGCTTGTGCCGGTTCCGGCTGCTGTGGAACGGTTAAAGCGGGGTGCGAGAGTGAGAGTCTCGCAGGATCCTCGTAGTGGTGTGGAAGCAGTCTCCTAGTAAAAGTGACGGATCTGCGGAGTCGCGACGAGTGGCGACTATGAGTATCAGCTCTGAGACGGACGTAATGCGCTAGCTGTATGCCGACGAGCTCAAAAATACTAAAGACGGAGAGAGAGGCCGGACTCAGGCCACCGCCGATATCAAGACGGAAATAGGATGAGCCTGAGATAAAGGGCGAAGTCGTGTTTGGTGCCTCTACGCGCAGCGAGGGTCCCTACACGACGGATGGAAACGATAGCGAGTACTACGACGTTCAAGAGACGTACGATTCGGAGTACGACGCTGCGTATGAGAAGGACAAGGTAGTGAAGTGTGAGAGGAAACCAAATGGGTTCATTTCCCGGTACGCTGAACCGGAATCTCGACGATCTGACCGTCCCGCGTTTGGGTGGAGTTTGAGCGCTCGGCGTGAAGAGAGTGGCGTCCGAGGTCTCCGTGGTGGCTATGGTCCGGGAATGGCTGCCAAGCCTCGGTGCCTACGAGGTCTGTGAGTAGCCCTCGCCCGAGTGGTGTTAGTTTTGCGACTTCTTCGTCGGGTATGATGCCGAGTACCGCTAGGCGTCGGGTTCTGAGGGTGAGTACGATGCCTGCAAGCGGGGCTACTACTGTGACAGGAAACAGAGGCCCAGCAACCATCCAAACGGTTCCTGCTCCCTCTGCGACTCGACAGTACGAAAGCGTCTCCGTACCAAGTCCTGAGGACGGCCGATCCGTTTCAGCTGTCTCAGTTGGTTTCGAAAGTCATGAAGGTGCTTCCTGTGTTCTACTCGGAGGAGATGGTAGAGATAGCACGTGATTTCTAGGAGCTCTTTTAAGCCCACGCGGAGGGTCTTCTCCGGCGGACGCGGTTGTTGGTGTTTCGAGAGAAGGGTCGAGAAGCTAAGCGATAATAAGGCAACTCGAGCATTCGGTCGTTCTCCACGCTGAAGGTTCGGTTCCATAACACGTTCCTTAGCCGTACGGCTGACGAGCTATGGGAACGGCTCGAGACTACAAGGTGTGAAAAAGGTGAGTCGGTGCAGGAATGGGGCGACCGAGTGTCCGACCTGTGTGAGTCGTTGGGCTACCCGATGCCGCAGATGTGTTACCGTTCCACCGTGGTATGATGAACAAGCGCATGCGGACGACCCGGGATGCAAACCCTGTCTCCAACATTCCTGAAGCGTGCGAGTGGCTGATGTTTAGGGATATAAATCGTCCTATTGAGGAAGACGACGAATTTACGGACGAAGCTGCGTC